ACTTTTAAATTGTAACTTTGTTTGAGTCCCCGTTCGAAGCGTTAGACAGCTAGCACGATAATTTTTCAATAAAAATAGTTTTATTGGAAGTATGTGATTTAATCATTGTATGGTTGTGTACAATGACATGTATATGTGTTATGCATATTGGTGATTGGTGTTGGATTGTAACGATGTTTTGTACATTGTTTATTATGTGACGTGAGGATGTTTTGGTGCAGGGATACTATGAATATGATTTGTATGTGAATAATTCATGAGTATGTGTATGTATGTGCAAATGTATGGTAATTCACGTGTGATAAATTATTGAAGATATGCATTGATGAGTTTTGGATGACTTTTTAGTATGAACATAACACTTGATTTTCTGTATATGTATGTTCTGAATTAATGATGAATGAGAGTAGCATTGTTGGGCATTACTTGCTATATGTTATTGAGGTGTGTTGAGTTGATTAATGCTATAAGTATATATTGTATGTGAATATCGACATGATGTATGTATGTTGTTTAATTTGGTGAGATGATTTAAATGTGTTGAATTATGTGAAATATGCTTGTATGATTAAGATATAGAGATGGTCTTAATTGCATATATATATTGAGATTGCACGTGCAACATGAGTTATCAAGAGTCAATGTTTGCTAGCTTTTGCAAGAGTTAGTGACTTGTCTCAAACCTGGAGATGGAGGTTTGAAAGCTTAGAGAATAGGCTTTTTGGTGATTATCTGTCTTGAAGATGTGGACACAGTTTAAACATAAAAGTCGTTAAGGATAACAATTGGCACCACATGAATATTGCATTGAGTTGCATTTGAGTCACATGTATTGATGTGAAATATTGAATTGGTGTGGAATATGTGATATTTATGTGAATGTTACATTTGTGGTATTTGTGATTGATTATATTTAAGTCATGAACTGTCGAGCAATGTTGTAGATGTAAACACGTGGATTAGATTGGATAATGTTGAATACATAGATTATGTGAAGTGTGATGAATTCAATTGTATGTATGTATGTATGTGATGCAATTACTTATTATTATATATTTCTATAATGGTGTGAATTCTCACCTTATGTTGGAATGATGTGTTATACGATATTGCTCAGGTACCAAAGACAATGGTGCTTCTTGTGAGGATTAGTCGGAGGAGCTAGTTCTTTGTTATCCGTATTTAGGAATTGAATCATGTTCTGGTTATGTAACACGGGGAAACATTTGAACTCATATTGTTTTAAGAGATATTTGATATACTCTCTTTTATTTTATATTGTATTTGATATTACGTGATGAGTGACTTTTAGTGCCTAATGTTTTAGTACATTATTTCTATTATGAGATTCAATTATTGGTATCAGTTATTAGTATTGTTACACCTGCCAGGGTGCAACCCTTTCTCGAGCAAGTACCTCTTCATTCAGCTGGTCATGTGGACTTATATGGATTTGCGATTAAACCGCTCAATATATGCCTGGAGGGGTTCGCCATTCCCCTGAATGATGGCCTCGAGGGACGCCTCAATTTTGGGTATTTCCGAGAGGCTGTGAAGTTTCTGGTGAACTGAGTTTTTAATACCTTCCACGAAGTGATCGAATCTGGGGTGTGGCTTTTGTACCATTCTATGGCACTTTTTCTCAGAGTCGTGGGAAATAAATTGCATTTAATGTCACCCCCGATGTTGTGGTAGTGGAGCATCACCTCGAAGCTCTCGAGGTGATCGTCGGGTTCCGTGGAACCATCGTAGGTTTCCAAGGGTGGGGGTTTCTCCATTCCTTTGAGAATGGGGGCCTCCATGATCTCCCGGGACAATGGAATGTTATGGTCGTCTTCGTGGCTTCGGTCTTGAGTTTGTGATGGAGAGAGGTTGAACCGGTGGCCTCTATGGCGCATAGAATTTCTTTCCCGGCTCCTCGTCTTTTCCGATTAATCTTTTCCCTTGTTCCTCTTAGGGGCAGGGGATTGTGGTGTGCGGTCACACTTCTTGGTGATTTCAGGAGGGGGTCTCTCCAGTCAAGGGTCTCGCCTGGTTCAACGAGGAGAGAGGCTCTGGGACTCATCCTGTTGATGTCTCCGTGGGGGGGAGATGGAACATACCTCTCATCGGCGCGGGGAAGGGCAATGAGATTCGGGTTCCCGATGTCTTCTTGTGGGGGAGCGGGATCACCGACCCTTCTCCAGCCTTCTAATGCGTTCATTCTGCTGGGAAATCAGGTAGTTAGTCTGATTGATGGCCACAAACAAGGCGATAATGATGGGATCAACATTGGCGGGCACAAGAATTTCATGATATTCTCCAGGCTGATTAACCTGCTGAAGTGTGTCGAGGAGGTGTTTCGTGGACGAGGAGGATGCAGTTCGTCCGTCCCTGGGGTCACCCTGGTCGTGACCATCTTTTCCGTTGTTGTTGTTCTCGCCCTGGGCGAAAAATATTAGTGTTGATGTCGGCGTCGTTGTTGTGCTGACTGGCCATGATGATCATAAGGTTAAAAAAGTTTTCTTTGGTATTGAGTTAGAATAAGACGGGGAAGCATGGCTTTCCCACAGACGGTGCCAGTAATCGTACCTGACTAAAATGTTTCTTCTGTGGCCGACAACACTTGGACTCATGTGGTTGTTGAAGAGAATGCAGGGGTACCTGCAAGACACTCTGATGCCAAAGTAAGGTTCAGAGCAAAATGTAAATATAGAGTGAGTAGAAAAAGTGTACCTAATCCTCTAGTCAAATAGGGTATTTATAGCTCCCAGTGTCGGGCCAAGTTCCAAAATAGAGACTTCTTGGATCCTACGTGGGTAGAGGAGACCAGTCCGTAGTCTCTATCCTAGTTTAACTGCTCCGTAATTTTCGGAGTTAAAGACTCGTTCTTTTCGGGAGCAGGATGACTCCGTGATATTCGGTGTACCATTGACCATGTTCTCTTGGTGGGCACGTGGAGGAGACGTCCTCGACTTGCTCGTGGAGGAGATGTCCCCGACGTGCGCTTGGAGGAGACATCCTCGGTGTGCTCTTGAGGGAGATGTTTCCCAATAGTTATAGCAATTCGGACCACCGTAGTGAATCCTCCTTGAAGTAGTACTTGGATGGATTTGTCCGACGGGAACCAAGCGCCCTACTCCAGAGCAATTTCTCTACACAATAAGGAAATTTAGCTATGTTTTAGGGATTTATCAAACTACAATTATGTATAACTATTATACATATTATTGACTGCTGCTATATTTTTGCTCCACCTCTATTGTATTCAATAGCGTTCACGGTCCACAATCCTAATAAAATAACATCAATTCAATCTTGTTCTTGTTTTCTTCTCATATTTTCTCTCATGTTTAACCACATCAATATGCAATGTTTGAATCCGCTCATGTACTTCAAATCATATTAAATTAAAAGAGACTATATCCATCTAAATATTTATGAATTTTAAAAACATTTAATTATTTCAGATTTTTTTTAAAGTGAATTTATTAAAAACTTACTTATAGCATGAACATCCTGCCACGTTTTGTGGGGATCATTGTCTTGATTAGTCTATGACCCTCAAGTTCTAAGGACCGACTCTTCACCTTTACACTAACTACAAATTCAAGTATTTGGGTCAAACTCAAGATTTTTAACCTACTTTGTTGTGAATCAAAAGAAACTCTACCATAAGCTTTACACAACTTTACTATCAACCCTAACCATTAAATAAACAAATAAAAATTAAGTGAGAATATTATTATCTCCATTTCTGTTTTTAAGTGATAACTTACTTTTTAAATTTATTGATAACTAATGTATTTAGCCTATAAATAGATTAAATATATTAATTATTCAATAAATTTTAAAAATGACTTATTTTTCAAAATTGTAATATTTTTTTTATGTTTAAAAGTATGACAGAAATTCCTGGTGTTCATATTAATTTGTGAATCTTTTTATGAAATTGGTTTCCCAATGAGGATTCCACTATGCATAAATATTAGTAAACAACTTGCATCCTCCTTCTTTTATCGTTTTCACTAACTCTTTTTCTTCCTCTTTTGTTTCTTTCGTACACTATTATGTTTTTCAAAGCCAACCCTAATATTAGTAAAATATGCATTAAAAACTATAGAAAATTAAGCAAGAAGATAGAATTTTCTAACTACGACTTTTTGCTTGAATTAGAAAGAAGAAACATTCACGTTTTCCTTTATGATTTGTGAATGTAAAGTGAAGTATATATTTTAGTGTTTAGGTAGATTTATTTTTTTATTAAAAGTTTCTTCTAAAGTTCTAGAAACTATAGAAAAATATTTAATAATTAAAGTAGGGATTATATGTCAACAATAATGGCATCTATTTCATGGTTTTTGCCGCCATCTAGTCATAGCAATAATTTTTTAAAAAAGACTTATTCAAATAAAATGACCAATAATAGTAAAAATTATTAATTAGCTATACTTTTAAATTTAGTTATACTACTAGACAACAAAATTTCACTTCTATCCTTGTATGTTTTCTATAATAATTATTAATTAATGTTAAGAAAATTGAGATTTGTTGTCAACGAGCTAGTTTGTGTCTCTTCACTAAAATAATGTTATTTTGAATATAATTCTTTAATTGAGTGCTTAACTCAATAATGCAGTTTCTGTCAAATAAACAGATCACAAATTCTCATGATTATTTATAATATCTTAAGTACAGAAAAGATAAAGATAATAAGAATCTAATCAACATGTGATAATAATTTTTTAATATATATATTATAATATTAGAATTATAACCTAAATCAATTATTATTGGTTGTTTATTTTCATTTTAATTTTTCTTAATATAAAAAATCTTTCAAGGAAAATATACTTAGAAAAAATGTAACATCATTGTTTATAATCATTACAAGAAGATATGTACAAAACATAAATAAAAGTTAAAACTAATCATCATAACAAATATTCCTTCATAATTTCATTAAATTAATTAAAAATAAAAACACATGACCCCAAAATATTTTATTTCACTTCTAGACTCTAGTAATGGCAATAGTACATACCATTCTCTTCATTCTTATGAATTTCATCAACATTAAAACCTTTGATGTTGTTGTTGTTGCTACTAATCAAATGCTTAATATCTTCAAGACCATAATCAAGTAATGGAGTTAATGCTTGAGTTTGACTAATAGTAGTACTATTGTAACTATATCCAACTCCACTTGATTTTTCTTCATATTGGTTCATATTTGCACCACCAATAACACTTTCATTGTTAGAACTTATCATAAAGTTATTATTGTTGTTGAACTCATCAAATCCAATACTAGACATGTGATGATGATGATGATGATAGCCAATTTCTTCTTGCTTGATTTCCTTGCAACTTCCATCAGATGAAGTACAACTTCCTTCACTTCCAAACATAAACATATTGTTGTTGTCTTTGATAATAGGGTAGTTGTTATATTGCATGTGAGGATTCATGGAATCTTGGTTTTGGTAAAAAGGGTTGAAACTTGTGTTAGGATAGTTGTTTGAAGGATGTGAAATGGTTTGGAGATCATTGAAGGTTGTTGGAGTTTGAGTAAAGTAGTCTAAGATAGAAGATGAAGGTGGAAATGAAGGTTTTCTAGGATGATGCAAAGCCATGAGTTTTTTCTTCAACTTTGTGTTCCAATAGTTCTTGATATCATTGTCTGTCCTACCTGGCAATTGTGCAGCTATAATTGACCACCTACAAATCAAAATATCAAACATGTTATTAGTCATGGAAGCTAACTATAGGGTTACAAATATAATTTTTTTAAATAATTGTTTACCTTTTTTAGTTATTATAATTTATTTTCCATTTTACTTCTTGAGTTAGGACATTATTGGTGTTTTAATACTTGAGCATGTAGCTTATAATGATTAAGGAGGATAAGAAGAAAGACAAAGTTCTAGATAATTATTATTATTATGAATTTGAGATTAGATTGGTCAGAAGAGAACAAAAAGGGTTGAAAAAATTGTACTTTGCAATTTGCACTAAAAAGGTAGTAGTAAAAAAAGTGTACCTGCTTCCAATATTAACATAGAGACTGCAAATTATTCTATCTTCCTCATCTGAAAAATCTCCATGCTTAATGTTTGGCCTAAGATAGTTAAGCCATCTCAATCTACAACTTTTTCCACATCTCTTCAAACCTAATAACAAAAATAAAAAATTCAAAAAAAAAAAAATAATAATAATACATATTTAAGCATTTTTTTATGAAATAATCAAAACCATGTTTTGAATATTTCTTACCAGCTTTATGAGGAAGAGAAATCCAATTCCCACCAGTGCCATGTTTCTCTATGTAGTCTTTCAGTTTCGAGTCTTCTTCTGGTGACCATGGACCTCTCTTCACACTTGTTTTGTCACAACATGGAGCTCTTCCCATTTTTCTCTTCTATCTTTCTCTCAAACTCTCACTTTCTAGATGAAACATAATTTGGTGGATAGTGGTAATGCCTTTATAAATAAGAGACCTGGATTTTGAAAAAAAGTTTAAAATAATAATATTATTATTTTTTATGTGAGTGAGAGAGAGATAGAAAGGTACATTGCATAAGTCAAATGAAAGGAAAGACATAACAATACATGTATAATTAATTTGATTTATTTTCAACGTACTTTTAATAAGAAATAATATTAATATACAAGAGGGTACTCAAGGTCAGAGAAAACTCTCTCATCTTCAACGTTGGAGACTTGGCAAGAAATATAGTATATGAAAGGATAAAGATTGTTCACATTTCTTTAAGGTGTATATTTTAATAGAAAAGGAGAGAATATTAAAATTATAGTATGAAGTATACAAATATATTTTGTTTTTCCATGTTTGAGAAAGGAAAAAAGAAGAAACATGTAAGCATCCAATGTTTTGTAATACAGAAAAAAGACAACACACAACAGAAGTATGAATTGATGGGTACAGCTACCGGAATTGCGACACCTTCCAAACACTATGACAAAAATGACGATGGGACTAGTTTTTCAGCATACTTCATAATTATTGTTATTATAGACAAAACTCAAGTCAAGTTTTTTTTTAATGTGGTTTTGTTTTTGATGAGTGGTTTTGAGTGATACTTGTATATACTTGAACACTCAAATGAGTAAGCCATAAAGAAGCGAGAGGTACTCACTTGAGAGGATGTGTACCTTTCTCTTTAATATCAAATTTTTTATTTAGATATAATGGAGTATTAAAGGATATTTTAGTATTTATAATTGTTTTAGATAATTTAAGTATTAAGTTTATTCAATTAGAGTCTACGAGATAATTTACTATGTGTATAACCAGATTAGTGGTAGCCGTCATTTATAACCTTCTAATTATTTCTTTTGTAAGCTTTCTAGTCGTCATTGCATTAAATATATTATCTCTTATCTTTTCTTCATTTATTAACCTTGTCCACTACCAATTGATATCTAGAGTTTCGGTTGGATTCACGGGAAACACGAGTGAAATAGTGAGGCGTTGTGTGATTAATTTTGATTCTTGGATTCGTGTTGAATCTTGAACAAAATCTGAACATAATCATATTTTTCTGATTCTGTGGGATTGGGAAACACTGTGTTTGTGAGATCTGAGTATTCTGTACAAGGTTGAAGATGACCGAAAATAGTAGTCTAAGCACCAAGCTTCCAGTATTTAATGGCAAAAACTGGAATCGTTGGATGATTCAGATGGTGCTCAGGATGTTCTTGAGCTTGTTACAAATGATTATGTTTCAGTTACAGCAGATGCGACAGAGGAACAAAGAAATGCGCAGAGAGATACAAAGAAGAAAGATCAGAAGGCGTTGTTCTTCATCCATCAGTGTATGGATGAGAACATGTTTGATAAAATTGATGATTCAACGACAGAGAAGGCTGCTTGGGACACATTGAGTAGGTGTTATGGTGGTGACGTATCAGTGAAGAAGGTGATGCTTCAGTCTCTCAGAAAGTAGTATGAGAATCTCAACATGATGCGTAAGTGTTTGTTGGCAGCAATTTTGGTAAAACACTGCTTTGATAATGTTTTGCTTAATGTCTTGACATTTTAAGTAAATCATCTCAACTGATTTTGAATGATGTCAAAGCAGATGTCTTAACATCTGCCTTCTGATCTGAACGTGTTTTTTCAGATTTTCTGTTTCTTGTTTTTAAGCGCGCCTTATTCAGGTTTTGTGGTTTATAACTTGCGAAAAATATGGAGGAATATTTTTCGACCTGTCTTATCTTTATGGATTATATCTTGGCCTACTTTCATGGAGATATTCAAGGGATTCAATATATTGCAATATTTGTTTTTCAGCCCAAACCCATAAAGAAGCTGTTGCACCTTTACAAGGACTTGCAACCTTATTCGTACAACTGCAACAATTGAAGAAAAAATATATTCTTTGTGTTTAAAAGTCTGAATCTTTTAATTGTAATACACTCTAGTATTATTTTAATACTTGAGTTGTAATTTGTTAGTTGAGTTGTAAATTATGAATCATTCATAAGCTTTTAAGTATTGAATGATTAAGGTTTTTCAAACTTAATAATTCTGTTGTTTTCACTGTTAGTGATTGAATGGATTTGAGGAGGGCCTCATACCTAGGTGTGTCTTAGATAGAAGTATAGCACGTGTAGTGATTAAGCGATTATATCGCAAACTGGTTGTTTACTGAGGGTCTATAAATTGATATTATTTAATGGACTTATCCCTGGCTTGGTAGCCCCTAGAGTAGGTGTTATTGTACACCGAACTGAATTAACAATCTCTTGTGTTTTTACTGCTTTTATATTGTTGCATTTTATATTGTCCTCAGATATTTGTGTCGTGACATCTCCTTCGACATTACATAAATGATACCAAAATTTCAATTGGTATCAGAGCAGGCATCCTGCTCTGTATCTGGGTGAGATCTAGGGAAGATACTTTCTAGTACTATGGACAAGGAAGAAGGATTTATGAACAGACCACCCATTATGGATGGAAGCAATCATGACTATTGGAAACTACGTACGGTGGCCTTTCTAAAATCTCTGAACAACAGAGCTTGGAAAGCTGTCTTAAAAGGATGGAAACACCCTGTCAAATTAGGAGAAGATGGAGAACCTACTTCTGAGTTAAAGCCAGAAGAAGATTAGTCTAAAGAAGAGGATGAAATTGCACTTGGAAATTCTAAAGCCTTGAATTCTATATTCAATGGAATTGACAAGAACATTTTCAGATTAATAAACACATGTGAAGTAGCTAAGGATTCCTGAGGGATTCTTCAATCTACCCATGAAGACACACCCAAAGTTAAGATGTCAAGACTTCAGTTTCTCACCACCAGATTTGAAAATCTGAGAATGAAGGATGATGAAAGTATTAATGACTTCCATATGAATATTATTGAGATTTCTAATGCATCCAGTGCTTTATGAGAAACAAAATACCCGAAGACAAATTGGTGAAAAAGATGCTTAGGTCTCTCCCCAAGAGATTTGATATGAAAGTGACTACCATAGAAGAAGCACAAGACATTGGCAAAATCAGAGTGGATGAACTTGTTGGATCCCTTCAGACATTTGAATTAAGCATCAATGAAAGATCTGAAAAGAAGAATAAAAGTATAGCTTTTGTAACCAATACTGAAGATGAAGAGGAGGATTGTGATCTGGATACAGATGAAGAAATATCTAATGCTTTAGTTCTGCTTGGAAGACAGTTTAACAAAGTGATAAAGAAGATGGATAGGAACCCAATGTTAAATGTCAAGAAAATCTCATCTTACATCCATAAGTCAAATGATTTTGGAAGAAAAAGGGTTGAAGAAAAATCCACTCAAGGGAAGGGAATACAATGTCATGGTTGTGAAGGTTTTGGTCACATTAGAGCTGAATGTACTACATATATTAAGAAACAGAAGAAGAATCTATCTATTAATTGGTCTGAAGAGGACTATGAGAGTGATCTTGAAGAGGAATATGCCAAGTATGTTAAAGCATTGACAGGAAAATATGTTTCTGATGAAGATTCTAGTGATGGTGAACTAACCATTGATGAGTTAGCTGCTTCGTACAGAGAACTGTGTCTTAGAAGTGCAAAAGTTTTCCAAGAAGAGGAGAAACAGAAAGCTCTCATAACTCAGCTGAAGGCGGAAAGGAAAGAGCATATGAAAACTATCTCTAGTATGGAAAGTGAAGTGACTTCTCTGAATTTGAATCTTGACAGAATGGTCAAATCATTCAAGATGATAAATAATGGGTCTGACACATTAGATAAAATTCTTCAAGTGGGAAGATTGTTAGGAGACAAGAGTGGTCTAGGGTTTAATGAGAAAAAGGAACCTTATTCAGAAGAACCTTCATCAGATTCCACTCATGCGAAGTCTAAACCAAAGATGTCGAATCAAATTTCTTAACATGATGGCAAGAAAAAATTTAATCACACCAGAGAGAAATTCCAGCCCTGGAGATGTCACCACTATGGAAGGTTTGGTCACATAATACCTTTTTGTTTCAAGTTGTATGGGTACCCTAAAACTGCTCCTCTTCCCAAGACTGGTCAGATCTCTCAAAATAGCAAAAAGAAGAAACAGTGGGTTCCCAAGACTATTGTTGCTAGACTCATAGCTCATACCTCTCTCAGAGTCTCAACCAAAGATGATTGGTACTTTAATAGTGGTTGTTCTAGACATATGACAGGTGTTAAGAATCTATTGGTAGATGTTGTACCCCAAAAATTTCCCTCCCATTTTTATTCAAGACATGCTCATTAAGGTTCCCAATTGCTCAAGGATGACTAAGAATTGACCAGACAAATTCTCCTCCTAAGCAATGAACCTCTAATTAGGGTTTCACTTTTCACCAAGATGTGTGAGATCCAAAGGTCTCAAATGTTTTTCATGATCCTAATATGTATTCAAGATTGTCCATGCCAAATTTCATGCCCTGCACAACAAGTTTGCTCAGTCAACTGCTCAAATGCATGAAAATCAACTGTAATAGGTCAAAAATCAATTGTGGCCTATATACAGTCAAACTTCAATATTTTTTGTCAACATCAACATTTTTAAGTGATGTCCATTATTTGATCAAGGGTTGATCATGATTCCTCAAGAAATGCTCCTAATTCATCAAAAGTAAAAAATTGCTAATTAGGGTTTTTATAGGAAAAGTCAATTGAACTTTGACCTGCCATAACATTCTCATACTTTATCAGAAATTTTTCCACCAAGGCTCATTTTGAATAGAATACAATTTCCTACAACTTATCTTCAGCCCTCAAGTTCAAGAAATGAACCATTGGAAAGATACAAGCTCATACATTACAGGTCACTTTCAGAAAGTCAACAAAAGACACTTTTTTCCAAGATCATTTACATCAAGATAATTTCTCCAAATGAAAAAATAGTCAACATATAGGTTGTA